GAAAGTGAATGTATATATCACTCTAACATATCTTATCTGTGTTTGAGTTTATGCCATAGAGGCAAATACCGATACCACTCAATGACATGGTAGAATTCACGAGCAGAGATCTATTTATAGATACACGAATGATGGGCTTATCAATATCGCACCGTACTCGACACACTGAGGTTCCAGTCGACTTTGGTAATGGTATCAATAAATAAGCATCCCTTGAGTATATTATATTTGATACATGCACACAAACAGAATGGTTGTAGCTGAAACTATCTCACAACTAGTTGTATAATCGTGTGCCAGTCCTTATTGACGCACATCTTAGTTCCCAACAGTTCTTCTCTCTCGCACGCAACAACAAAATCGCTGCACACACTCACAGAGTCTGCAAACTATATATGTATATAATATACATCACATATGTATATATAGATAGATATATCTGTATATATATATATATATATATAATACAGATATATGTATAAATTATATTATATATATATATATATATAAATATATATAAATATATATAACAGATATATATCATAACCATACTTGGGTGAGCCGCCCACTTTGCTGGCTGTGTTTGTTTGGTACTGATCGCGGCCATCAGTACTGGCTCGTCTGGAACCCCGCCGTGAACTGCCACTAAGAGGTGTACTGGTGGTGCTCACACTACTGTAGGTAGTGATATTGTAGGTAGAGCTGATGTGGGTAAGGTTATGGTGGGAGCCGTCGCTGATTATATTTTTAGCACTCTTTGTCGTCTGGCTGGTGCTTTTCTTGGGAGTTTTTATGCTGGCGATGCTGCAGTGTGGTAGTAAAGTTGTGAGAATGTGTGAGTAGAAAAGAGCGTGTGGCTCCATGGTTCATAATTATGTTCACGACTAGAACGGATGTATTAAAAATTCATACATTGCTGAATATAGGTAGGATATGTTTTTTACTTGTTTGTTGCCCAGCTGTATATATATGAGCACACACACACACACACACACACAAACAC